CAGCACCAGCATATACAATGTATGAATTAAATTGACTGCAGTTTACTTGGAAGAAAAAACACACTGGCAGAGCACAGCTGATCAATGGATTCTACATGAAAGCCTACGATGTTTACATTGTAGATGCAAAGGGAAACGGAGGTCTCAAATAAATCAAGATAAGACCATTTTATGGATGAAAAAATATGGGCAAATTTATATTACAAACAAGGAAACTCAAAAGTGCTGGACATTAAAATATGTTAAACTATAATATCAGTCAATCAGACAAGCTTAATTTATATATAGGTTCATGCAATTCAAAGTGCTTTACAGATAAATATTAAGGAAGAATAATTAAAAATGAATTGTGAAAGCAATTTGTTTTAAACATAAAATAATAAAAATAAAATGGAATTACAATAAAAACTAGATCAAATTAATAGAATATAGTGACAAAATATTCTGCAGTTATTCTGTATTATTAGTGTAATGCAGTATAATTTATGACAGTAAAATCTTCTAATCAAAAGCCAAAAGTTTAAAAACATTAACAAACTGAGCTGCTCTCTGTTCTGCAGACAACCTGTTCCAGTGGTTTGGGACATGAAGCAAGGACGTAACTGTCTCTTCATTTATTCAAGCTCCTCCACTACAAAAAGATATGGGCTGGTCTTGGGCATGAAACTCCCAGGCTGAAAACTGGTCCCACTCCAGTCCTGCCATCCAAGCTGGGAAACCTTTACAAAGCCTCTGACAGAGGATGGAGATGTGTGTTTTCCTGAGGACAATGATCAATGATGGGTGTGCTGATGACAGCAGCTGATTGTTTGACAGAGGTGTCTCTTTGTTGCACATCTTATCTGCTGTGAACAGATGTGTTCCCTGGCATTGTGTTTGTGGTTCTGTTTCCCATCATCCTCAGCGGCAGATGTATAGAAATACGTCTGAAATATGGCACCGGGTTACTCTGACAGATACTGCAGGCAGCAGGAGAGGTGGAGACAGACTGAAGGTTGGACGAACAGCACTGTTGTTCATGTGATCCACAGAGAATGTCAGGTGACTGTTAGACCCCAAGAGACAGATATGGACGCTTTTAGAATGTAAGCTAAGTTCATGTTACCTGCTGAAGTGACTGAGATCTGATTTTTTTTTCCCCTCTAAAGGGCTCAGATCTGATCTTTGTGTGAAACAAACCCAATCAAATGTTTTCACGTCAGATCTGGACCACTTCTGTGGTCATGGATCCGATTCATAGCTAATACAGTATTTGACCATGTGACCACTGTCAGACTGATAAGTTCAAATTCATATGGTTTTCTCAACACCTCACTCCTGCACATGCATGTCTTTCATGGACAAGTAAAAATAAATATGGAGGAGAGCAACAACAGCAACAAGGGTCAGTGGAGAGTAAATGGCAACCTCCACCAGGGCTGAGAAAGCCAGTGCTCAAGTGCCCAACCCTGCAGTTCCACGAATGGCCACTTGAGGCTGGCTCCAAAAGGGAGTCAGTCCCCATAGATTCCCGTGTTAAGGATAATCACCTTTATTTGGCCAAGTATGTTACACACACAAGGAATTTGTTTCCGGTACAGAACCGAGGCAGCCATCTGCAGCGGCAACTCACAGATGGCTCTAACCATCAGGGGCAACTTGGGGGCTCAGTGTCTTGCCCAAGGACACTTCAACATGTGGACTGCAGGGACCATGATTTGAACCTCCGACCCTCCGGTTTGGAGACAACCGCTCTACCCACTGAACCACAGTTGCCCAACTCTACAGCAGAAATAATTGTTTACAGCCTGGTACAATAAACAGTTTTGATCTCTATAGCTAATTTCTCCTTCCATGACAGCTGTATACTTCATAACTTTTTAACTTAACTTTTAACTTCTTTAATTTGCCTGTTTAAATCATATTGAGACTAAAAGTTATGCATAATTAAGGGTGTGGCTGCTTTGAGTTTTTTCTTAATGTGCCTTCATGTGCAGCACTAGATTACTCCCCCCTTGCTCCGATGATGTAAGCAAAGTTCCACTCTCAAGTCCGACACTAACCTTGCGATACTATTAAAATCCTTTTCAAGACCAAAAACATTTGGAACTAAGCTTAAAATATTCAGGGCTGGAGCCCCAAATGATTGGGCCTAATGACACCATTACATTAAACCATCAGACCTCTCTTGCCCTGTGGACAGAGTCATTCAGCGCTGATTTATTCAGGCTTTTCATTTAATTTGTCACCTGTCTGTAGAACATTTATATAGAGCTCAAGCTAATAATAGTTGTAAATGTATAAGAGCGTTTTTTGACATTATGTGTAGCTGTCCATATGTTTGAAATTCTTAACCATGATCCTGTTTTTCTCTTGCAACAAAGCAGAGAAACATTTTAGTCTGCTCCAAACATGATGCATTACTCTTAAAGGGACAGTTTGCCCAAATTACAATGATTAATTTGGGTTGTATCTGTTCTTTTATTAGTCTGTGAGACTTCTGTCTCCATCAGAATTATTTAACCAATAACTGAGAGATGACAGGACTTGACAAGAGAGAGATTCCACCCCCTTTAGGACAGATACCTTGAACCCCTATAGGCCACCAGAACGCACTGGGTCCTGCAACATTATGATGAAGATTTTGCACTATTTTCTTCCACTTCATAAACAAAATTATCCCAGTTATGTATGGCACAACTTTAACAAAATGCGAATGTTCAGGTGTCTACTGTACAAATCTGAAAGGTGGCAGAAAATATTGTAAATACTGAACTTGTAGCATCCTGGGTATCAGCTTTGTAAAACAAGGGATGTTTTATGTGCCTTATTTTAAATTCAGCACTCACACTATGTGCATTTTTAGCTTGAAACTGGCACTAGTGTGTGTTTGTCCTTCCCTATGTCTCTGTTTCTATTTCATTCTCTCCTCTGCAGAGTCAGTGTGACGCAGGGTGGGGAAGGGGGAAGGACAGAGGGGGGAGGGGAGGGGAGTGGAGTGAGGGCACAAAGGGACACGATAACTGCAGTCTGACCACAGAGAGATGCAGAGACAGAGATTGAGCTGGAGGGAGGGATGCTACTCCATGCTAACCAGTGATCCACATGCTAAATGTGGTCACATTTTGAACTGACATTTGTGGAAAGTACATTCAGCTACTGTGATTAATAAAAAAATGTATGTACTTTACCTGAGTATTTCCAGTTTCTGCCACTTTCTACTTCTACTGTTTTTAGAAAATAAGATTTTTAAGATGTTTATTATGTACACAATATTTATAATAAAATACAATCAGAAAAGCTCATTGGAGGGCAACGAGGCCTACCACCCCAAGCAAATGGGATTTGGTGTGACTAGCTAACCTCTAAACTAAAATAAGATTAAAAAAAAAACACTCTGCTTTTAGCTTGTGGTCTGTAGTGACTTGTGGTATTTTTATGCTCGCTAGGTTACACTCAACTCCGTGTGAACAAATCAAGTCCCCAGAGAATGTTATTAAATCCCCCTTGAAATTATTTTGCGCCCACATACTGAATTTCACTTTGATATATAGCACTTGATAAAGATGACGAGAAAGATGCTCAAATCTGTTTTAAAGTGAGCCATTGTAAAAAAAAACAAAAACAAATATTTTTATTAATAATAAAATGTGCATGTGTTGTTTCTCACTTCAGCTTTTTTCATTTTATTCGAGAGCTTGGGAGAAGTTATTTGTCATGTTGTTTGGGATAACTTGAAGCAAAAACCCCGTTCTGTGAGGAGGTCTTTTTTGTAGCACATTGACTTAAATTAGAAACTTTTGCTAGCTTTGGTTGTAGCTACATACCTACAAGAGAAAAGTTGCCTGTTAGCATAAGCTACAGCTAATGCGCTCAAACCTATTTTCCAGTTAGCATGTTAGCTTACATTATATACATAAGACTGGTAACAGAGATGAAAGGCTAATGGTAGTGTGATAGTGTGGTAGTGGATGTGTAATTTTTTTTATTTGTTGTCTCTCACTACTGGTCTCACATAGCCCATCTCTTTACATTCCTAGACTTGTCCCTCTGCTCATCTTTCCTGTCTTTTTACCTGCCTTGTTTTACGCACCTGTCCTTCTCTGTCTGTCTACCAACTGTCCATCTGTCAACCCATCTGTCCATCTGTCTATTTTTATTCAGCTCTGTATCTATCAGCTAATCTATCTAACTTTCCTTTACCTATGTGTACATTTGTCTGTCCACCACCAGTGCCTCCCTGTGTTTGTCCACCTGTTTGTCCACCTGTGTGTCTCCACCTGGTATTCATCTCGCTGAACCCACTAGATTTGGTTCTCTCACTGTGCTGAACATTAAGGACTATCAATACTGAGGAGCTTTTCATTATCTGCAATACACATATCAGTTACACACACAGACACAGACACACACACTATACAGGCTTGTCTCTATTAACAATAATAGAAATCCGATCAGTGTAACTGGAAACTGTTGACTTTCATTTTGCAGTCTCTCTCTAGTCTGCTGACCTAGGCTAACATCACCTCGTCTCACCTTACCTGTCTGTTTGTTACAGTCTGTTACAATCATGATCGAAACACAAAAACAATATAAGAACATTGAATATACAGTACACCATTAAAAACTACAACTTCAAACATAAAATGAAATATAGTGGAAAAAATATGTGGATTGTTTTTAAAGATATGTTTCAAATGCTGGTCTATTTTGAAACTGTTGAGTCGTTTTCTAGTCATGTTTAGAGAAGCATATTTGGCAACCCAAGAATGAACCAACGTATCTGAGACCTTCAGGGGCTCTGCTGAGTGGGATTTTAGTGAAACTGAAACTGGAAAAGTGGCAGGCCAAGAGAAGCATTTCTATGGAAATGAAGCCCCGGAGTGATGTTGTCTGTCTGTGAACTCTCACCACAGTTACATTTCATTCATAAACCATTCGTGTTGCTGCAGAGTGCCGTTAAGCAGAAACAAGTAACTGTTGCAATACATTTCATAATCTTTTTCTCTGTCTGTCTGCAGGCTAAGGACAGCGATGATGATGAGGAGGTGGTGCAGGTCGACAGGGACCACTTCATGGATGAGTTTTTTGAACAGGTAAGACAACATCACACACATATAGACAGGGTAGCAGCTGCCATCAGGTCACGTGTCCAGTGTTGTTGCTGGAAATGTGTGGATTTTAATGACTGGAGGAGTTTATATTCTATAAAAAAATAATAAGGGTCCTTATTTACTTATAAATATAGTTTTTGCTTGATTAGTTGATTATTTTACAGATGTTGGCTGGAAATATGAATTAAAAATACATCAGGTTTAAATGATGACATATAAAAGCACTGAGGTGGGGTCAAAACTAAATATTCCTTAATTTTAAGAGGTCACTATCCAAACAGCTGGAAAATAGAGGATCAAATCTCCCAGGCTTTCTTCCTAAACCAAAACTAAAGGCTGATGCACATCTTATAAATACAGTAAATAACCCTGTATTCTGACACTGCTCTGTAGCAATGGAAAGGTTCTGAAATCTCCTGCATCTTCAGCGGGAACTCCTGCTTTCTAGGAATCTTAAAAATCAAACTGTTTGCAAGTCCTTTTTTAAAATAAAGTGATGCAGGAAACAAGATTATTTGACTACAGACTTTCATTGTGGTGCTGTTTAGCTGATTTTATATTTGTGAAAGTTGTTCAATTGGTACAAATTAGGAGATTGACTGTACATAATTTGTACAGCGTCTGCAGAGTGTCATAGACTCAGTGAACCGATCCATCACACACAGAACTGAAGACGATAATGACAAATTGACTCCACTTCTCTTCTAACCGTCTCCCACCATCATGTTCCTTCTCAGCTGTTTTGGGGGGATTTTTGAGAATTAAGAAAAATACTGAATATCACCAGCCTTAAATGCCAAGTGGGGTTTGTCTTATTTTAAACAAAACTATGGATTGTAATAGTATTTAAAACTAACTGACCTCTAATGAAGAGGGTGACGCTCATCAGATGACAATAAAATTGAAAATTGAGTCAACCACTGTAACCAGTTTTGTATATTTCAGTTTTTTCCTCTTATAAGCCATTTCTACCACGTCCTCAGAGGAACTGTAAGTTCCACAAAATACACAATCCTCTGTGTTTGTGACCACAGCACAAGATCTACTGTAGTCTTAGTGCTGACTATCTCCTGAGGAACTATGAACTGGTTACCCAAATCTACTCTCATCTGCCAGTCTCCCCCAGCCTTTAGCTGCCCTGTATCTTGCCTGTTCAAAATGTCTTGCTTCCTGCAATGAACAAACAAAACCCCCTCTTGTTTTTTTTTCTCCTCCACTGGGTTTACCTCTAGGCATTTACTTTCAAAAGCTGCTACTAGACACTTCAGTGCTTGATTATGTCTCTAGGTGTATCACTCTTGAGCCAGGATTTTTTTTTTTTACAATCAGGCAAGTGTCAAACTTCAAAATGAGGTTGTTTAAGGCCTGAAAACACATAGAAAACTAGACAGCAGTCAGAGAGTGCAAACCTCCTCCAAGCAGCTCAGTGTCCCCACAATGCCTTTAAAAACATTTGTGGATTGAGATGATAATCCAGATCACTACTGAAATGTAATGGTTTGTTGTGTTGGCCATAACATACGGTACCTCTTCAAAAAATTTCATCAAAATTCATTCATTACTTTTTGAGTTATGCTGTGAACAAACCTGTAAACAAATCAACAAACGGCAGTAGAAACATGACCTTCGTGGTGGAGGTAAAAAGTTTGTGCATTTCCATAATTCTTTTGCTTCTTATGATGATTTAGTACAGTTGGCCTTTTAGTTCTGCAGTAACTTGTCACTCACATTGTTTTTATAATTTTGTTAAGGAGTGACTAGTGTTACTGTATTAGGTTTAAAAAAATTAAAGAACCTTGTATTTTTAATTTCTTTAAAAATGTTGGGTATATTGAGGTTAAACAAATTATTTGTATAATCACATTTTGAAGTAGTTTTGTTGAGTTTTCATTCATGTATCTCGAGGATCTCCTAAAGGATGTGATGTTAAAATGTATTTGTTGTGGCAGTGTTTTCTGTGGTGGCATCATTCCATCATTCTGTTGTGTTTTTGTGTGCATGTTTAGGTTGAGGAGATCAGAGGCTGTATAGAAAAGCTGTCAGAGGATGTGGAGCAGGTCAAGAAGCAGCACAGTGCCATCCTGGCCGCACCCAACCCTGATGAAAGTAAGACATACACACACACACACACAAGCCAAACAACCCTGAGTTAACCCTCAAGGACAAGCTCAATTATTTGACAAAACTCAAGATTTCCACTGAATCTCATAGCCTTCATTGATATGACTTGCTGTGTCAATTATGATGAAGATATTTCAGTTGTTATATCCTTTAATCTAAACAGTTGTGGGTCACAGATGATAACAGATGGTTGTCTATCAGTAGACATGGTAACTCTTCTCTCTGTTCAAAGATTGTCTCTGGTGTCAGATGAGCTTCCTCCAGTTTATCATGATGACTTCTTGGAGGTGTGCTGGTCACACACCACAGTGGGAGTATGTGGTCTGCAGCTGGTTTCAGATTTCTGTGGTTCTTCCTGTTTCTCCCTGCAATATTTAAACTGGTCCACTGACCTAATAACACCAAACATGCCCCCATTTGTTTGACTGGGCTTATTTTATTGAGGAATGGCACCATTAATGAAGCTCCGCTAACTTGGTGACAAACACTGCATTTCCTTTGACTTCTTCACAATAAAAACATCCCACTGGGTCATGGGAATAGCTTTGGTTCACATGAGCTGTAACTGAACTCAGCTCCGGTATGTCTGAAAGCAGTCAGTAAACACGATATGTGAACATAACAACAGGAAGCAGGAGGGAAACTAAACTGCAAATAACAGAGATTCAGGTAGAAGCTACAAAAGCACTGAGCTGAACACAGACTTTTAAAAAACTGATGTTTTCTCTGGAGGGTGTTCCAGAAAGGGGGTTTAGTGAAAAAAAGGGGGGCAAAACTGCTGTTGAAGAAAACCTGCCAGCGAGCAGGTTAGATTCATGGAGTAAGTTACTGCAGTAAGTGGCTCACAGCTAAAGTCATCTCTGTTTCTGGAACTGAAAACCCAGAGTTTTTCTCAACTCAGGGTAAATGGTAAATGGTTGTATACTTGTTTCTGTGCATTTTCCCGTACTCAAAGCACTTTACACTATTTCATATTCACCCATTTGTGCACACAAACAATGACAGCCACTTAGAGTAACTTGGAGGCCAGTGGACACTTCAACATGTAGACTGAAGAAGCCAGGGATTGTACGGTCAACCCTACACTTAGAGGACTATCCGCTTTCTGGAATGGCCCCCACATAAACGCATAAAACCTGAAACAAAAGCACTATAAAGATGCAACATGACAATTGAAGATGGTAAAAGTGCTGCTACTGTGCACGTAATTCAGAATAAAAGCAAAGAAAGCAGCATGAAAAATAAAAGAAGCTAATTAACATGTGTTAGAGTTTAAAGTGGGTTGCTTCCCAGTTGCTTCCTGTTTTGTGCATTATAGGAAATGCAGTGTGCTTACCACAGGGTAAGAAGAATGGCTTTCCCTTGTGGTGCTATACAGCAAGGCCTCAGTGGTAGATATAGTTAAAGTGTTTAAGGTTTTGGCTATAGTAAGCAGTCAGTGGTGTGACACTGTTAGACTATAAATACAGATTTAAAGTGTTGAATATTGTGTCAGTAACCTTCAGTAACACAGAGTGAAATCTAATCCTGTTAACTGCTCACTGATGAGAGCTGTAGTTCACTGTTTGAGCCTCTGATGAGTCTGTTGGCAAACTTCCACTGATCTCTTGCATCAGTCACTTCAGCCGTCTCTCCTCATGGCATATGAGGAAAATAAAATCAAACTCTCCCCTACTTGAGAGTGTGAGGCTCAGAGAGCTGCACTGTGTTCACCCTGACCCTGGCACGCTGTGACTCAGCAATAATGACTCACTGTCAGCACTGAAGCCTAAAGCCAAATCTGTACTGTCAGAAACACTATACTGTAAAACAGCTGGCTCGAAAACAGGTTTTTCTTCAGATTCAGGAAGAGCCAGAGCGACCTCAGGGGTTCAGCTCCATTTGAGGCTTCACTGAAGGTGACTTGTAGCTTGTCAGCCAGAGCGAGCCACTTTAAGATGTCATTTTCTAACATTTCTATTTTTGTGTCAGAAAAATAAATAAATAAAAAAATCTCTCTTAAAGCCATGACTCAGCCAAGTCTGAGCAGAGACATCAAGCAGTTGTAGATTCAGACACTTCCAGTGAATGTCCAAAAATCACTTAGAAATCATAGAATATGCCCCTTTTAACTGCAGGACTTGCCTGAGAATCATCAGGATTTAACGAATACTTCAGTATCAACTTCATCTAGGGATAGTTGCACATGCACAGGCACATTGCACATATGAGCTGCTAATAGCTAATTCATTTATAGATTATGCTTTTGAGACAAATAAATATAGGCCAAAAATATAAAACAGTGCTCACTCTGTAACTCACTGTTGAAACAAATTCACTGACTCCATTGCAACATTATATAGTACTTCTTGTTTACATCCCCCAAAGCAATATGGTGGTGCTCAGAACATGATGATACTAAAGAAAGAACAAGAACACTACGATTGACAAACTACATTGTGCTTTTTGTTTTGTTCTGTGAGTCCAGGCAAAGCTGAACAGGGAGAAACAGAGGTACTGGTCAAAAAATATGCAGTCAGCAGCCATGCCAAGCAATAAAACAAGGCAAAATCAAGGCAAGCAAGGTCCAAACATTCGGTGCAGGGAGAAAAAAATAAAGACATAAAAATAGAAATTAAAACTAAGCACAGTAGGAAACACTTGGAACACAATGATGCACAGAAGCCCAGAAAACCTCTTCTTCTTTTTTTTCTTCTTATGGTGTTTATTGGCAGTTTGCAAGCCAACCTAAGGTGCATTACCGCCACCTGCTGAGCCCAGAAAACTGAGGCACAGAGCTCCAGGTAAGCACATCAGATAATCTGGAAAAGAACAAAAGAAACAGGCAGGCGTTTATACAAACTGAGCTAATCAGGGGAGTGGAGACAGGTGCGGTGGGTGTGGCAGTCAGGACTGGACAACGAGGAAAAGGGAGACAGGAGTGTAGAAAAGAACTGATGGGAAAACCCAAGGACAACTGGAGACTGGGTGGGGAATGGCAGGAAACAGGGAAGCATGGGGTAGAGAAAAGACTGGGACCAGGACAGGTTGGTTTATTTCTGAAACTCTGACACTTTCTGTCCATTCTTATACAGGCATCTGGTGCATATTCAGACCTAAATCCCAAAAATGTCAAGTGGCATCAAATGATTTTCCATGGTCCTAGAACAGTGCAAATGATGGCATTTGTGAGTGTCCCTGAAAATATGTAAACACATTTATAACACATGTATTGAGTCTGCTACAAATGTGTAAATAAAGAGACAGGAAACATAAAAATAGGGGATTTAAACAACTAAAGGAATAGTTTGATATTTTGACTTCTCATAAAACTGCTGGGAACTATGACTGTATGTGGAGATTTCAGATGCCGGTTTTCTTTAACAACAACAAAAATATGTATAGAAATTAAAAAAAAAAAATTTTTAAAGCTGTTTTAAGCCATCTTTTGTTTTTGTAAAGCTTAAATTAAAAAAAGCAGATATATCCAGAAACATGTAAATCAAAGTTAAATTTAACACTATACTGTATATACTGACCTATGTGAGCATAAAGTAGCATCATGGCATTAAATAAAGGTGGAATTTATAAAAAAGAATCACTCACACTTTTTAAGAAAAATACAAGAAAGATTTATTCTCCATCTTCTGTGGCTCCACTCTGATTGTCCTGCATGCCGTCAGGTTTTGATTTGAACTTTCTACATGTCAGTACCTTCTGTTCTGTTGTTGCATGCCCTATGATGACTCTTGTTTTTCTTTCTATTCTCATCCTCTTCTTTTTTGCGTTTCCCTTTCTTCTGTTCCTCATTCCTTTTTCCTTAATTTACATTTGTTACTTCTATGCCCTTATCCCTCTGATTCTACTTTTTTTCTACCCTTCATCTCCTCCTCTCCCTCTTTTCACTCCTTCCCTCTCTCCCTGTCTCCGTTCTTTGTTGCATGTTGCCCGTGAAGTCTCTACTCTTCTTCTGGTTGAAGTATTTAAACTGCATGATGTGAAGTTAACCTCAAAGGAGACGAGGAGGTTAACCGCTGAGGACATGTGAGTGACGTCTGTTCGTCTCTTCTCTCTCCTTTATTTTTAAATATAGGAAAACAAACAAAAAGGATACTGCAAATTTATTAACTAGATGTGATGAACAAGCAAATATGAAAGGAGCGGTCAGTACAAAATTATTGTTCATGTTACGAGTAACATCTCATATGACACAAGACAGGAAATCAGAAAATGCTGATAAATAATGGAAAAGGAATGAAAAATGGAAATTAACTGTCAGTGCAGATGAAGTGAGATTAAAGTGGAGTTCAGTAGATGTAATGTGCTAAAGTGAGACACAGTGAGATGTCGCAAAACTAGATGAGCTAGAAACTCACGAGATTAAATTGGTTGTAGCCATACTGGATGAAATGAAGAAAGGTCATGTGCTCTAACAATGTCATCAATATGTGTTATAATTAAGTGACCTCTAGTGGCTGTAGTAATTATGACAGGAGCAAGAGACTGTAGGTTAATCCCACTTCACTTAATTGCATCCACATTTACCTCTTTTCCTTGTGTCTTAGTCCCTCCCACATAAGATCTGAGGAAAAGATGAGACCAAAGAGGACCCAAGGAAACACATTTTTGAGACATGAGACGTCCTCCTTCGTCCAGTCCGTAGGCTGAGGTGTCCAATTACCAACTGATTTCTGACTGGGGAGGGGGGGCTAAAAAAGCTGGTCTCATGTGTTCTTGCACATGTCTCCTCCAACAGCCTCATCGCTCCTCAGAGCAGATGTAAGAGTCTTCGGACATTCGTCAAGATGACAGGTCAGGTGATCGTGATCAAGGAGTGAGGAATGATCATTGAAGGGAATTGGGATTTACCCACTGTTGGTGATGTATAAAGGACTTTGAGATGAGAAACAGCTGTTCATTTGAAATTGGTGTTGCAACTGTTGTATTTTAAAACAAACCACAATTTTTCCCTAAAACTAACCAAGTAGTTTTTGTGCATAAACTTGGCATCCTTTGCATGTATTCTTGTAACAACGACAACTAAGGTCTGGTGCATGAAAATGACCTACTGAGCCACCTAGGAGGTGGAGTAGTAGTTTAATAATGTGTATAATGTGTTGACAATAATGTGTTGTGTATAAACATCACTTCATGTTTGATGGTCAGACTCTTCTTCTTCCTTCTGGTGAAAATATGCCACTTTCTTTCTTTTTCTCCTCCTCAGTTCTGGGTCATCTCGCTCTCAGCTGCCAACAGACTGTCATACAAAATGCATTTCAAAGTTTCTGCCTGAATAATGCATGATGGGAGTTGTAGTGAGAGCAGAGGAGTACAGTTGAAGCTTTGCATCTAAACCATGTCCATTCATAAAAACTGTTCCTTCTCTTCTCCTTTCATCATCACTTCATTTCTCCAACATTGACTCTTTCTCTCATTGGCTGTTACAGTATCAGTCTAGACAGAACCCTACAGTCAGTCAGCAGGTTGTAAAGAAGCTATGCACCAAATCTTCTTCTCTATGGAAACCCATTACTATGAGGAAAAGAAAAAGAGCCAAAATGCAGTCAAAATGAGGAGAAACTAAGTTAAAATGCTTTCCTGACGTTGACACACTATTTGTCGTCTCTGAATTCAACATGATGATCAGCCTGGTTCATGTTAAATGATTATCAAAGCTGTTGCGCCAGTGAAATTATCAACTCTGGCTGCTCTGGCTACTGTGCTGTGAGTTTGATGAGCTTGGCCCAACAACACTTACATCATTCGAATGCAAAGTTCTGAAAGAAGGAAAAACCATGCCATAAAAATATTGTCAATTCTCAAATAAAATCCCAAAAAGCAAATGAAAGGGTTTAGGGACAACTGAGTTTCTCTTCTGTAGCTGTACTGATGAATGGGTGCTATGGAAATGGGCAGGCATGGAAGGAGTGTTGGTATGCATCAACACGAAATGAAAACAGGTTATTTCCATCCCTATGCTGTCCCTCAAATGTAATTTTTCATTTCCTTGCATTAAATTTTATGTTGCCTTGGCATAAATTTGATGTTTCTCAAGATAAATATTACAATACCTCGTATTCAATTCTGTATTTCCTCACAATATATTTTGCTTTATTTCACTATGTTTTCCCTCCCTAACAGACAGAAATCCAGTGTGAAATGGGCTCTAAAGAGTGGGGACAGTATGTATACATGGACCAGCTCAGAACTAACATCTTGATTTGCTGAATTTGTCTCACCAGCAGCTCATCTTAAAACTCACTTTTACAGAAAAAACATATGAAACTGCTGTTGTTATACATTTTTCTTTCACTTACTGCTGTTTCTGCCTCTTACTGTATTTAAAATATCTTCTGTTAATAAACAAAAATAATATATATGTTTTTATAATTACTGAGTATTAGCATCATATGCTAATAAAAGCTAATAGAGTAGAAAGGAGGATGAGGAGAGGCAGTCAGACAGAGAGAACAGGGTGAGTCAGAGGTAGAAAAGGCTGAGTGTGATCGCAGCAGCTGAATGGCACTGCAGCGCTCGTAAATCTGCCTGCACTGCTGCAGCTTTCACACAAACACACACACATACACCGTTCCCCTCCTCCAACATGAATGACATGATGTGGCGTTACCGTTTCTCACACACATCCTCAAACATCGACCTGACGTCCCTTTCCTCTTTCTAAAAATTGCGCCGTCATCCTTTTACTTGACTTTTCTTTATGCCTGACCTTTTGCTGCAAAAATCTGTTTTCACTGTGGTGTCCAATGGTGACTGTGGAAGAAATCGCTATTGTGTCAAGGTTCTTTTCTGTTTGGTGCAGTGCTGTAGGCTTAGTATAGCAGTGATAAATGAGCACCAAACCACAATGAAATCATACAGTATGTTCTTTTAAGGGTTTTTCCCTTCTGTTTCCAAATGTTTTTAAATACTACCATTTTGCCTCGACACTAAGAGCTGTTATTTTTTCATGTATAAAATGTGTTTCATTGAATCATGAGATTGTTTGCGGAAAGTACTTTTTTACACTTCATTTTACAAATTTTGAGGACCGACAGTAAATGTAGTGTACTGTAGTGTAAAAACAGAGTGATTTCAGCCATTCTTTTCTTTCCTAAGAGTAAGATGTTCTGTGTGTTCAATAAAAAGATGTAGTCAGGACATCGTTAGCTTAGCTTAACAAAAAGACTGGGAACATGACAGCCAGCCTGGCCCTGTCAGAGGTCACTGATTAATACATTATTTAACTGGTTTGTTTAATATGTATAAACACTGAAACGTAAAGCAGCAGTTTTGTGGGCCTGTTTTCTATTAAACAACAGTAATAATAATGTTATGGGTTGCCAGATATGGTCCTAGTGCACAGGTTTTGGTTTTGGTTTTGACATGACGGAACCAAACAAGGCAATCTCACTGCAACAGCACAACTTCAGGAGGCTGCACATAGATGTTAAGTGCACCAAAATCCAGACACACACATGAAATTGCTGTACATATAATTATAAAACAGTTAGTATGAAGTTACTTTCAGGACCTTGTGTTCATATTAAAGCATGTTAGACTTGCAGCAATGGCTCCTCATGGAGGCTCCAAGCAGAAAATAACAAAAAACCTTTTCCTACCAGAGCATTTTGGTGTAGGTAAATAAATTAAATATAGGTGGTTCAAAAGCAAAAGATGGATGAGTGCTGATGGCCGGTGGCATGGCCAGGCTTCAGACTGTGGTGGACATGAACTCTGAAGGACCTTTAACAGCATCTAATTGCAATGAACGTGTAAACTGAAGATCCATGTTCCTCTTCACACATTGTCTCAGAGTTTGCCTCTGTTCTTTGCAGAGACCAAGCAGGAGTTGGAGGACCTCACAGCTGACATCAAGAAGACAGCCAATAAAGTTCGCTCAAAATTAAAAGGTAAACACTCACATCTAGCTTTAGGTCAGTGAAACATTTCTTTATTTCCTCAGCAGATTGTTCACATCACAACATATTCATCTTCTACAGTTATTCTTACAAAAACTACTTAAAACACCAAATAAAGAGCCTCCAAAAATGCAGATCACATCACCTGTTTCTGGAGGATTTTTTTCTGTGATGACTCATTCTGGAGTGAGGGGTCACTGCAGGTCTCATCTGTTCTCTACACTCCGAGGTTTGCCAAATATTGACTTTATGTCTGCAGACAAACCCAAATGTGACTGATGGTCGAGGAGTGTTTAGAATTTAGGGGGCGAAATAATTATACTGAGCAGATGTCCTGCTGCTCAGGAGAAGATTTCTGATGGCTTTGACCATCTGACCTTTCCTGTCCCTCCACCAGCAGTTCACATTTACATAAAACAATTAAAAGCAATTAAAAATAGACTAAAATAGGTCAGGAAGGTATAGCGTATATGGGCATATTTTAAAAAAACTCATCAACTACTACTCAAATGTTGCCATTGTTATTTTAACAAACCTTGCAATATTTGTAATTTTGAATATCACAACAATTGGTCACATTGTTTCAGGACAAACTTTACATTTACAGGACATACTTTAGATTTTAATTTTTTTACAGCTACCTAATTTTTTATAATTTGCTGTTAAGTCACCTTCAGTGAATTCAACACTTCCTGTAAATATTTCACATTTTAAAAACTTCCTGTGTTTACAGCACATTAAAGACAAAGGTAAATAAAGTGCTATTAATTACTGAGTAAGAACAGTTTGGTTTATAACAACAGAAAGTGTTTTGAACAGAGCGGTGAGTATGACATGACTCTACTGAATATTTAACAGGGCTTTGCAGTCTATTAGAGGATTTATGGTTACCCACTCAGAATGAGAGAGCACGTCGACCTTCAGCTGCAGAAGAAGAAAATATTCAGAAACTGTGACGATTTATCAAGTCGTTATCACTGGAACAGCTTCACGTACACACACATACACACACTTAAAGACGCAGGCCAGTGAGCTTAAACTACAGTATGGGAAACACACACTCATACACACTCGGTGCTGCAATGCTGTTTCATGATGAGGGTTCAAGGACATCACTGCTTTAATGTGAACAGTCAGAGGCTGGACTATGCACACACATATAGTCCTGTAAACTCATGTACTCACAAACACACATTATGTTGATATATGTGTGAAAAGACCCTCATTCACACACACACACACACACACACACACACACACAGACTGTACTTTTTCAGTCTAAGAATAGCTGTGATGGTGGAGATAAAGCTATAATTGGAAACCCCATGAGGGTTGAGTGTTATTGTTCTGTCTCTCACACACACCCTCTGCAGCATGTCTGCAGCATAGTGTATCTTTGTTGTCCTCAGGGGTGAGAGGTGGGGTCACATGTAGGTGCAGGAAGGCATTGTCCACAGCAGAGACAGCAGGCTCATGTTCTTAAAAAGTCTGACTGAGTGGCATGCCTACATGGGCCCGATGTAGTGCCGGGACTTTTTGAGCGCTGGGTGTTGTTCGCCTTTCAGGCCACTGAGTGCAGAGCAGTGAGTACCATAAAATGCTTGGATCAAGTGGAAGTAAAGTAATATGCTTCATTATTGTCTCAAAGGAAGAAGCTGTGGGCTTCCAGCTTCCTCCCACAGACATGCAAGTTAATTGGTGACTCTAATAAAAAGGTGTGTGTGTGAGTGGTTGCCTGTTTCTATGTGTCAGCCATGTGATAAACTGACGACCTGTCCGGGGCTCACCCTGCTCTCTCGCCCAGTGTCAGCTAAGATTGGCTCCAGCTCCCCCGTGGGGTCACAAATCTATAAGATCAAGTCATTAAAATCTTATGGTTCTACTATGATGCTGTTATACTGTTTCAGAAACCATGAACAATGTTTTTCATGTTGCACCAACAATATATTTTTGACATTACTGAATCTCAGCGTGGTTCTCTGTGGCCACAGATTTTTACAGAAGAACAAATAAACATGTTTTTTGAGACTAAAGATGCTAAAGACATTCTCAAACAATCTTACACACACAAACACACAAGGACTCACAATCTGTTTCTTACTCACCCAGTTTTCATCTCACTGTCACATAAAAAACACAAAAATTACACACAAATGCTGCACACACACACCATCGGTGCTGTGTGATACTGCTGAATCATCATGGATCCAGCAGAGAGCCAATGGGCCATGAGCCAGGAAACACACACACACGGTGGAAAACATTATATAAGCATTTCAGCTCATCTCATCACTTGCCGGAGACAAACCAACATCAGAGGCACATGACACTGGGACAGGCCTGCAGCCAGTTACCATGGCATCCACACACACACAAACACTGGCACACACTCACACACACTGTTCCAGCTGATGAGTTAATTATCAGCCATGGTATTGTTTTCACTTTACTGTAAGAGGCAGATCAGAGTCTGTCTCACCTGAACTGAAGATTGAAAGCCGTGGTAGCATCCCCAGGAGGCTGCTGAGGTCATGACAGTTGCACAAGGTTCCTGCGCAATTTGAAATTATTGTCATTTTTGTCTTTGTGTCCACATAATTTGACAGCATGCCGCATTTGTACTGCGTATGACTGGACAGAGGAGGTGTCAGTATTGCACATTACTGAGACATGACAAAGCACTACAGATGTTGTTGATTCTCAGTAATGTCAAAATATATCCTGACTGTGCAACATGAATGTGAAATGTTAACAGTCAGTGGGTTAGCTATGGGCTAACCTGAGCCTTGTTATAATTACAGACAAATATCACTGCATTACTTTCAAGAAAACTTAAAACTGTGATGATTCTCAGGCAAGTTCTGCAGTCACTGTTTAAGGCGCATCGTTTTCCTGTGATTTCTAAGTGGATGTCCATCCATCCATCTTCATCCGCTTTATCCAAAACCAGGTCGCGGGGGCAGTAGTCCAAGCAGAGCCTCCCAGATTTCCCTCTCCCCACACACCTCCTCTAGCTCCTCAGGAGGAATCCCAAGGCGTTCCTAGGCCAGCTGGGAGACATAGTCTCTCCAACGTGTCCTGGGTCTGCCCCGAGGTCTTCTCCTGGAGGGACATGCCCGGAATACCTCCCCAGGGAGGTGTCCAGGGGGCATCTTAAACAGTGGATGTATGAATGTTTGTTGACAGTGGACATGTAATTTTGCTTCTGAGCGAATGAATTTCAGGCGTCAAGTATTTTGATGTACCTTGACCCTTCTTAACTCATATCCAAATTAGTAATACTATTTCATATAGCGTCTTTATTGATAAGGACCCCAAAGAGTAGCTGTTGCCGAAAGGGATCCAATAAAAAATTTACAATCTTTATTTTTATAGCACTTTTCTAAATGATAAGGCAGGTGACATTCATTATATTTTTTGTTATGTTCAAACCCAACGTGCAGACCCAAACTAACACTTTGTTAGTCAGTACTTTCTGACATCCTTAATCTGTGGATCTCTGCTCCAAGCCCATTGTTTCCTATTGAAGATGTAAATCTTGAAAAACACCTCAAAGACATATTGTTTTTATAGTGTTTAACAGGAGGAAGTTGTGCATTTGTTGGGGACTATTTTCAACAGCCACATTAATCCACATTTGTTGCTCTACTCACTATCTGGGGCAGCAGAACAATGTGTGTGGGACTGAGTCCAAATAAACTGCAGTGTGTGTTTATGGTGATGAAAAAAACATGTTGCCCAGAGCAAAACTGTGGTCACTGATGTGTTTATAACAGTTTTTGGACAACTATGGAGCTTTATGGCACAGGGGAATATAAGGCTTTGATATATATACAATAATTATTATTAGGATACATTCGTGTTGGTCAGCATGTGGGATTTGATGACAACCAGAAAAATAAAGACTGCCATGGAAAAGCATGGAAATCAGACCAACAAATACACTTTTAAAATATATGAAAAACACAAAAAAGCCCATGAGAAAAATATTTCTTCTAAGAAAAACCTGAACGTGTTGAACAGAACAAACACACTGATGGTTTATCTAGTCTAAGAGCCTCACCCATTGAGACGCTAAAGTAAAGGTCAGGAGGCCACAAAGATTATGAATATCTATAGAAACATTCATAGAAATCTTTGCTGGAGTTGTTGCTTATCCCTCTCTAGGCTAAAGTGTTGTCCTTATCCTTCCTGCTGCCTCTGAGTTTTCCTGAAGGGCTGCAGCAATCTCCACTCTGTAGGGATCCTCAGATGAGAATATCCACACATATTAAACTGAGTCTCCCTGGTTGAATAATAAAGTATTAAAGCTTCAGCTGAGTGAGGTGATGCTGATGGATGAAGAGGAGGTGTTGTGTTCTGTCTTCATCTGTTCTCTCCTCAGAGACAGAGGTGGGCAGGCTGCAGAAGTGAAGGAGAGGGGGGGATGAGCCTTTTCAATTTATGCAAAAAATCCTGAGTTGAAACATCAGAATTTTTTTAAGTATCCCAAAAATGGCAGAGGTTAAGTTTCCAAGTATTGAAAACTTGATAAATGCCACTGCCATTGTAGGAACAAATGTAATGTCAGTTTATCTGACCATCAGGGTTGGATCTCACATTTGAAATGCATGTATAAAGTAAATTAAGCCCCTAGTTCTGTGAAATAATAGACCATACATTATTAAGAATCAAGTGGGTTATTCTGTGTAAAAATGAGACACACAGTGTTTTCTTCAACTAACTTTGGCTGAGCTCCTTATTTACTCCTGGCCAGGGACGTCGCTGCTGTACAGCGGTCCCCCCACCCACCGCTAAGGCGAATCATGCCAAGTATTCCACAGCGACACAGTCGGAGAAATGAATGCACATATCATGCTGCATGTATAATATAAAATAAGACAAATTTGACCAATACATATGATAAAGCACCAGAAAAATGTTAATTGTGCTTAAGGTAACAATTTGTCATTGTTTTTTATTTTTCATCCATTAATGCTGGCAACATCACATTTTGACTCTGGCAAGGGCAGCCAATCTGATTCTGGGGATGGCCAATGCCACCCCTGGCCACCCCCTGGTTCCACCCATGTGGACCACATTGGTACTGCCTTTATTAGACTGTCAATGGAGGAAGTACTCAGATCCTTTACTTAAGTAAAAGTACTAATTAACTTATGTAATTGATTCCTCAAATTTGTTCTTAAATTCAGTATTTGAGTAAATGTACGTAGTTACATTCCACCACTACAGACGGTTTACATACTGACAGACAAGGCAGTTGTTGTATTTTAGTGTGGTAAATATGGTCAAAGCTTTCAGAATAAGACCACCAGCTTAAATGCAATGATCACATTTTGTCCTGTTTGATGAAACCTTATTTGACCGTGTCTGTGTGCATGTGTGTGTGTCTTCCTGCAGCAATTGAGCAGAGCATTGAGCAGGAGGAGGGTCTCAACAGATCATCAGCAGACCTCAGGATCCGTAAGACACAGGTGAGTGGAGGTCAGAGCGGGTGAAGCAGCAGACACAGGTGTTTGTGCAGTTCAGTCTGTGAATAACGTTGCTGTTTTATCGATGCGTAATCTTCCTACTTATTGAAATGTTGTTAGAAATTAAATGTTTCAGCTGGACACGTTTGCAGAAGGTGTCGATCTATGGAAACAGAAAACCAACTACATACCAGCTTTTTATTTTTGGTATCAAATCAATTTCAGTGTCCCATGAAACACATGGACATGGGACATTGCATGGTTAGCAATGTAAGCTACCACATCACTGCAAAATCCTGGGCTTCACTGCAGATGGTTATCTTTGTTGCATGACACCCTCGTTCTTTTGTTACAAATCTTTTATTTTATATTATTTTATTTATGAAAATCTCTGCTGCACAGGTCAGCCATCCCATTTCATCAGATTCCATTAATTCCATTTTTTCTTACCATGTGTGGAAACAAAACCACAACAGAAACTTTAATATATCTTTTCCTTTTTCAACTTTTGTGTTTAGAAAGACTTAGAGGTGAACTACTTTCATTGTTTTTGTTGTACGACTCTGCACAATAAATCTAAAGCTCATTGTATTTGAATATTTTATTTACTTTACTGTTTTAGTTATTTGGTACAGTAACTTTTATCCTCACAAATGAAAAATGACTTTCTCTGATTTTCATACACTTGCTGGCCACTTTATTGGGTACAGCTGTACAATTGTATGCACGTCAATGCAACACTTCTGCCTTAACGTCTGTGTTTATGAAGCTTAAAATGTTTCCATTTTTGCTGAGTTTGTCATAAATGTATAAATTCAATTATGTGTATTATTGAGGTCATAGTTAAAGGTGGTGTTGTACTGGACTACATTATATTCATAGGTATTCCTAATATTCTGACCCTCTCATGTGTGTAGCAGGGAAGGACAAAAATATAGAGGCACCTCTGAATATAATGTAGTCCAGTACAACACCACCTTTAACTATGACCTCAATAATAAACATATTGAGTTACATAAACACAAATGTTAAGGTGTTGCACTGAAATGCACACAATATGTATACAATGTACTGGTGTACCTAATAAAGTGGCCAATGTGTGTATATATATATCACTTTATCTAAAACCTGCTGACTCACTGATCAATCATGAGCAGATCAGTAATCATAAAGTGCAATAGATCCGAAATGACCAGAGAGCATTAAACGTCTCACAGTCTGGGAGCATTCAGGGACCATCTGTAAATGACTACATGCAGAAATCTTTGGTTAGGATGCTTTTAAAGCTCTTTTATTTACAGTAAGTGAAGAATTTCATTTTTTCCTTACATTTAGCCTCAGAGATGGTTCTTGTTTCTCTCCTTGGAGCTGAGTTCTCATTACACTTTATTTCATCTGGGATAAAAAGAGAAAACACATAGAAGTCCAAGTTTGTGTTCTCAGAGTGTTTTCTTGACTCTGCAGCCCATGGTTGGTCTGATTTGACCCTGAGGTTTTCTGCTCTGTCATTGGCTGCTGCCTCTCCTCTCCTGTAAGCCAGTTTGCTTCCTGCTGCCACCTAGTGGAGCAGAGAAGAACTGCAGCTTCTCATAGTCAAAGCATTGACACCACCTTACACAAGCACTGATCTGTGTGTGCACTAATAACACACACACACCCACACACACGTTGAGTAAGTGATTAAATGGTTCGCTCTATGTCCAGAAGTTATTCAGAAAAAGAACTGGAATGAAACTAAGCACATTTTCTCAAGCGGTGCACTTAAGTACAATTCTAAGGTGTTTGTACTTCAGTATTTTCATTTCATGCAATGCTTATATTGGCTCTGCATTGACAAAATTCAAATGCTGATTAAACATTATAACTAAGTACTAAAATTCCAATAATATATATGATTAATGTAACACTGCAATGAAATGTAAACATTGCTGCTAATACTTTTGTGACTTTACCTAAGATGTTAAATGAAGGACTTTTACCAGTAGTATTTCTACACTATATTCTACTTTTACAAAAGTCAGAGTACTTCTTTCAATGCTATATTTGGAACTGCTGGTGAAGCTGAATAAAAATAAACTTGTTGCAAAGTGCTACACATGTAAAATTTGATTGATTGAAGTGGTGAAAAGTCAAATTTAACCATTTTTACCACCATTCATTTACTGATATTTACTAGTTTTCATTGCAGATCGTATACATCTGTCAACACAGCACAATCTGTAGTATCAGTTAAATTAATGAAATTACTAGCCTGTTATAAATAGGCAGCCCTGGTGAATAACCTCACATCTTTGCCACTTTAATGGACTGACAGATGATGTGCTTCTGCTTTAAATGTCAAATAGCAAAATCTGAATCTGCCTTTAGAAAAACAAATGACCTGATTGCTTCTTCTTTCACTCTTCCTCATCTTCTTTGTTATTGTCGTGCAGCACTCGACGCTGTCACGTAAGTTTGTGGAGGTAATGACTGAGTACAACACCACGCAGTCCAAGTACCGTGACCGCTGCAAGGACCGCATCCAGAGACAGCTGGAGATCAGTGAGTACACAACAGACTGTACTAACAATGTACAACAAACATACTGACAACAGACAGCTGTGGAGCAGTGAGTACTACAACACACAACATACTAACACAACACAGTTGGACAGCAGTGAGTACACAGTGGCATAGTGTGCAGCACACAAACACTGCAACAAAAACACATTAGCATTTTCACTTCACTGCATTGTCAGATCGAAGCTGGACATATGTCACTTGCAAACATAAACATGAACCATGAAGAGAAAAAGATTGGATCTGACAAAAAGATCGGAATTGAGCATTAAGGCCTGTGATATGAAAGTAGTGGTTAAATTCCGACGTGGTAGTTCGGATAGAGGTCGCATGCTCAGAGATTGGATAGGAATCAGATCTAGGACCACATGTAAGTGACCCAGATGTGATCTAAAACTATTGGATTTGATTGGTTCACACAATCTGTGAAAAGCTCAGCTCTGGGTCACTTGGAGGGAAAAAAACTTGGACTTGAGTCACCTTTAGCATGTGAACATAGCATTAAAGTCAGCCAAAGAGGAGATTATGAGCTGGACAGACAGTAAGATGTATGAGAGTCCAAAAACTACTTGTGTCACTTTAGTTTTTGTCATTTTTATTCATGTAAATTCATTTTTAAGTCTACACTTTTACTGTGACTTTCAGCGTCTGGACCTAGGATTTGAAAAAAGAGGGTTTTTGAACATACAAAATGTTGACAGCAGAGCCCGCTATCTGTTCTCAGCACTCAGACAGAGAAGTGGAAGAAATGCTTTTTGTTTATTTTTTGCCTCAACTCACTTGGAATTCTTTGAAAAAGGAAACTGGGGTTTTTTGTGAACTCGGACAATCTGCTGTTTGGATTTATTAGTTCAATGTCTCAGAATTATACGGTTCACTGTGTGAAGAACATCTAACAAATTTCATTTAGAAATAGAATGATAAACAATATATATATATAATAGTAAATCATTTTATTTTGCATTTTTATTTCCTGGTGATCAGTTAAAAAAAAATAAACGATTCCAGTTTGAACTTGTCAACTGTCTTGTAAAGAATAAATGATGTCTGCAGTTAACCGTTATAGTACTGTCCCAAATTAGACTAATAGTGCACATACACACACACACACACACACACACACACAGTGGAAACTAGAGGATACGAATACACAGCATGTACAAACACAGACACTGATCTTACACTTTGCAGGTAAAATCAATTTACAAAGTAACATGGAACTGTAATGGAGTTGAAGTATAAAGTAGCATAAGTACTCACGTAAAGTTGAATAGTGCTGTAGAGTACTTGAGTACATGTAGTTCTTACTATACTTTCCACATTCACATACAAGATATAACTAGGATTCTAAAGCTACACTTCCCATTCTGGTGTTTAACATCAGAAAACACAGGTCAGCAACAAAGCACCCATCACGTGATGCACCATGTGACTCAGGTGAATCTTCAGGTGCTCTCAGATCTAAACCTGCCTCTTTTTCTCTTTGTGTGTTCTGTCTGCAGCCGGGAGAACCACAACCAATGAGGAACTAGAGGACATGTTGGAGAGTGGCAAGCTGGCCATCTTCACCGATGATGTAAGCACCGCACCTGAGCCCAGCTGTAGCTATGGGTCACTTTAACCTGAGCCATTCAGCATCCCTTAATGAATATTATTGGGAATGCAGAATGGCCACAAGGTGCGCTGAGACATCAAGTGAATATGGCCTTTGTCACATGACTGCGGGGAGGATGAGCAAGAAACCAACCACTGCACCGCGGAGCTTTTATTTTGAAGGTGTAACCTCACATTAGAATCTACTCCTTCAAATTAAAAGCTCGCATATTTACTGGTGCCACTACATCTGCAGATCTGACTAGTGACCACAGCATCGGGTCACATGACACGCCAGTCATTTGACCTCATCTTTGTCCAGTGGATAGCTCTGCACATGACTGTAACTGAACACCAGGTTGAAAATCAAAAGGTTTCACTGAACTCCTTAGTTTGAGGTGTTAATTTACTCTGGAAGCAGGTAAGTGAGTCTGACTCTGGTTAAAGAAACTGGAGGTCAGATGTCAGGACCTCAGGGCTCAGGTGACATTTTGACTGCCATTCCTTTTAAGAGACTAGTTCGACAGTGCCTTAAAGTTGACAATAAACTGATCATTTTAAAAAGTTTAATATACTTTTTTGTGGATATATTTTAAGATTTTGATTGTATCTTTAATTTTGTTTGTACATATTTTGTAGTTTTGTTTAGTTTTTGTTGATTTTTCTTTTCATTTAAAACTGTCAGAGTACAGTAATATTTGTGTTGAAACTCTGCTGCAGATCAAAATGGACTCTCAGATGACCAAGCAGGCCCTGAACGAGATCGAGACCCGACACACTGAGATCATCAAGCTGGAAAACAGCATCCGTGAGCTGCATGACATGTTCGTCGACATGGCCATGCTGGTCGAAAGCCAGGTATGTGCTGTGATAACAGGAAATGAATAAATACGTGTTAAGAAGTTGTTTTAGGTACAATTTCGAAACACTCAGTTTTGGGCAACATGGTGATGCACAGCGAAATGTTTCCAGGTTCACTGATAACTCTAAATTGCTCACAGGTATAAATGTGAGAGTGAATGTTTTCAGGATTGTACCAGACTGGCAACCTGTTCAGGGTGTACCTTGCCTCTTGACCAGTTAGAGCTGGGATTGGCTCCAGCAGCCACAGAATAAGCAACATAGATAATGGATGGACAGATGGATGTTAAACTCTGCAATGTATGTGTGCGATTTTAGGGAGAGATGATTGACAGAATTGAGTACAACGTGGAGCACTCTGTTGACTATGTGGAGCGAGCCGTATCCGACACCAAGAAGGCCGTCAAATACCAGAGCCAGGCTCGCAAGGTAACAAGTTCATCCTCCTAAGGCGGGGTGAAGTTAGACATTCTGTAATGTTCTGTATTAGAAACAAATTCCTTGTGTGTGTAACATACTTGGCCAAATAAAGTGATTATTATTACATAATAAAACTCTCTGGATAAATTAAGAAATATGAACCAGCTCTCGTTTTGATTTTTGTTAAATTTCAGATCAGTTCAGGTACAAAATGTTCTGAATGGGATGGTTCTTATATACCAAATATATTTGTAAATATTTTTGTACACATTAAATAGACATATAGTATACTATATATGTATACATATATAGTGTGTAAATGATATTTAAATTTACTGTGCAAAATATGCCCATATTGAACAATTATTGTGATTTATGATTGTAAAGATTTTATGTTGTAGGTTTAAGATTGTGGGGCTAAGGTGAGCAACTTTCAACGTAAGCTACAAAGAAAAGTCTCTGATGAGCAGTTTTCTAAGCTGCACTCATCCAGAATAAAGTTGAACCTGTTTTCATGAATGGTCTTTTTCTTTCGCAGGATCATGATTTGTAAAAAAAAAAAAAAAAAAAAAAAAAAAAATGTGGTTTTGGTTAATACTGGTCCTGTTATGTGAGTTAGCTTTTTGATTTTTAACCAACACCACTATCTTCCCTCAATTTTAATCAAATGTGTAGAGAACAGTATCACAAAATCCATCATTATGATTTTGCTGCCAGGAGGACATATTATTGGAAAGCAAACAAAAATGTTATCAGTGAAATGTTTGTGAAAATGTTCAATTTGAGCATTTTGTGACTTAACATATGTTTATTAAAAATAAACTAAGTGGCATGATATTTTTTGTAAATGCTTTTGCTGTTGCAACATATTTTAGTAGTATATAAAAAGAAATTTAAGTGAGGTATTGGAGATTTATACTGGTTATACAGTGTACTGTAATTTACATATATATGATCATATATTAGATTTTGCTCCTGGGACAAAGTTGCATTCAGTGATATTTCTGTAGATGACAGCTCGTACCTTCAGCTCCAGTCATCTGCTGTTAGAAGCAGATCAGCAAACACAGTCGCTCATTCAGCTGCAGGCCAATCTGCTAAATGGAAACTGAAAACAACGGTCTGTGTTTCTCTCTCTCCTGTCACCCTGCAGAAGAAGATCATGATCATCATCTGCTGCGTCATACTGGGTGTGGTCCTAGCGTCGACCATCGGTGGCCCCCCCTGCCGCTGTGACAACTGACACCGACCAACCGTCCAATCGACAGCCAGCAGAGAAAAGAAACACCAACAACACAAAACTTGAAACACAAATGCAAGACAGACAACCAATCAGCTAGGAAGAGATAACACTCCAATCACAGATAAGAGGAAGCACCACTGGGTTGGTGGGGTTCAAAAAACAAAGACAAAAAAAAAACAATAAAAACACCATCGCTGAATTAAATACATAACATATACAAAAGAGGGTACAAATAAACCTATTTATTACAGATGTACATGTAAATGTATTGAACATATGAAACAACACATGGGTTAGCTACCTGTAAAAAATTATGACCTACAATATGATGTTTGTTTGTTTGTTTGTTTTGCCTTTTTTCTTAGTTTCTTTGTTTTTTGGGAGTCTCCGAGGACAGTGATGGTGACTGCTGCTGGGTGGGAGTTCTGCAAGGCGAGCATTCTAGTGCAGCCTTTATTTGTTCATTAGTTTCTTTTGTTTTCTAGTAGAGGCTCTCGAACTGAGCATGTTTTAGAATGTCACAGAACATGTTCTTAAGAAATATGCTCAGCTTTCCAATTAAATGTTCTAAGAGAGAAAAATAAAACATTCCAGAGTTCTAGAACTCTGTGATGCATTCTGGAAGAGAGTGCAGACAGAAGTTCCAGAATGCTGTCAAGTCATTCTGGAATGCTCCAGAATGCTGTCCTGCAGGACAAGCACCCCCTGGCTTCGGTAGAAACAACTTTATCCCCTTGTTTCTGGGTGGGAGGGACCGACCTCGCCACTGGCTTAACCGCCTCTGTAGACCACCTCTCATGGTTACTCTCTCCTGTCATTCACCTCTGTCAGCCTATAAATTAGCTTAAACCGGCAAGTCCCAAAAACATAGCCCACTGAGATGTTTTCACAGCCAGACAATTGATTGGAAAAACTCAATGTGGGGGTGTGTGTCATTGCTATGTGGAGGTTTTCCATGACAACAGCTTCCCCGTCTTGTCACACTTATCCAACCAAAGAACAGGGAGTAGGTATGAGAGCCTCTGGTGTTGCTGCTGATTTCAGCTGGACAGAAGCAGAAAACATGATGTTTGACTGACAGGTGAACGGTGGGAAGGAGGAAGACAGGAGGAGAAGAGTTTAGAGGAGGGTGGGAGGAGACGGATGGTCAATCTATGCAGTTTAGATAAGAGGAAGAGTACTTGTCCGGCCTTGCATTAAAAATATTGTAGTCAAAGCCGGGTGTGATCTTCAAGCTGTCACGCCTGTTCTTCCGGAAGATTCTAAAAAATGAAGAGAACACATTTAAAAGAAAGAAGAAAAATAAACTAAAACATAACATTATGAAATGAATAATCAAACTAGACAACACATAAGATGGACAGTAATTGCAGAAAAACCTGAAGTTGCAGGCATGCCCTGGTTACCTGAGTGTTGCAGTAATAACGTTGCTGCTTTTTTTTTCAATGGTGAACGTTTGTTGCTTCATTGTTCCGTGGTGCTGCTGTTCTAGTGCGTGCGTGATGTGTCCCGTGACGTACCAGCCTGACATCATTTAGCGATTACTGTTTGGTCTGTATGGTTTGATACACTGGCATATGTTCTCCCTGCATCCTTCCATCTCATGTCTGAGTGGGTGTGTGTGTGTGTTTGGGCATTGTGATATTTAATTCATACCATTTGAATCCCTGAGTTACACAGGTGCTACTGAACATTAAAGGCTTCTCTATTGGTGGATTTCTTCTGATGAAATATGTGTGAAACATGTGACACACACATATTCACATGCATGAACACTTCATATAGACATTTAACATTTCACACACAGATACTGGATATCCCCTCTTAACACATACACTTTTAACTAACATGTTACATGTCATGCCAGTGTTAGTTTTAGACTGTATCGCTTAGCATGCTGTATTAATTGTAGGCTGTGTAGAAGCTGCTTGTTGGAGATTGGTTGCAAATTTTCTGGTTGTTTTTTAAAGACATACTACATGTGTTTATAGACCAGTGTAGGGGAAATAATACGAGATTGGACAGGAAATGTGAATTTTCCAGAGGCTTTAACTTTATCTCACAGTCTTATTCGTGGGTGGAGATTGCACACTAATCTGACTTTGCAAATTCAATCATCTGAAAGTAGTTGAAAGTTTCAAAAAAGGCTAGTAAGTTAGTAGCTTAAATTATTTTTGTGAAACTAGTAAAAATTAAATGGCAGTAATAAATTTTGCTTTCCCATTGGACAGTCTAGGAAATGTAGTAATATAGAGAAAGCAAATACCAAATTTTTCATTTTAAAACGTATTTACTGTTTATCATATTGTGTTAGCATGAGCAGTTAGTTATATCTAGAAAAGAAGGAAGGACTTCTCTGGTTCTTTTACTCACGTGAAGCTATACAGAAAAGTACATGGTAATTTAAAATAGGCTCATTATAACTGTAAAAAAAATGTAAAAATATGTTATAAGTTGTCACAGCAATCTGAGTATTGTATTTACCTCAACACTGCTCCACACTAGGACAGCATACATGTGCATTACATTTCAAGACTATATATGTTGTAAAAGCATGTTTTGTTTCATTGCTGTTAATGTGGTCTGTTGAGAAGTAACACAAATGTGTGTGTTGCTCGAAACTGGACGCACAGGTGTAGTGAAAACTACTAAACGATATTGTGACCATGGCTTTAGTCAGGGGAGTTGTAAACGGAAAGGTTGCCTGTGCTCAGGCTCTGTGATACAGAGGTTTGTCTACTTCTGTTGAGGCCTGTGCTGGATGATCCTGCACTGTCACGCCATAGTCACTGTCAAAGTAACAACAACCACAAATACCACCTTAAATGCCACAAAATCAGTCTACACTACACTCAAAGCAATAAAGTCAGTTTGTTATTGTTCAGTTTCATCTGACAGAAAAGGTGTTAGCTAGCCAGCTCACAGTGTCTAGATTCTGCCTCCAGTTAAGAAGCTTTAGACTTGCGAAGTGGACAGAGTTATTTAGTAGTACTTACATTCATTGACCATTAGGTTCTGGTTTCCTAATAGCTGTATTTGAAAATAGTTCTCTATTAAAACATCAAGGCCACTTTGCAGCTCTATTGTTCTGGAAGGTCTGACAAGAAGCCAGCATGATGTGGTGTTTGACAAGTATCGTTAGCCAGCAATCGTAGCCATGACAGGACTAACAATACTTAAGGTCATGCTAGCTGCTTTTGTTATCATTTCTTTGGTGTATAACTGTTTTCTTTGACGTCATAGGAGTTAGTTAGTGCTGTGAGCTGTAGATGTCCGTGATGCTTTGTAGTTGCTAGATGAAAAAAAGGGGCAAGAATTTTTTGCTTCAGGTTTCGAGAAGATTGAAGGAAGGAAATTTATTGTATTCTTCGAATTTCCAAAACCAAAACCTACCACCTGTGTTCACCAAATCTTAGCAAACACCCCCAAACCCTCCCAGCAGAAAAGTCCAATAGATGTCTGTTCAGATTAACTGTCCATAGATCTAGAACAATTTAGCACTTTTCTCTGCTGTTGTGTTGTCAAGATTCATGGCTACATTCTGTCATTATGAATGCTTTTTAAGAGGTTTTATCATTCTTACGGGTAGTACAAACACTGTCCACAAATGATGCATGGGTGAAATGTGCAAATCAAACCCCAAAGTATGCTTGTTTTTATCACAGTTCTTGGGTGTCTTTGGACTCTTTTGTACATTTTAGAAATAATACATTTCAGGCACATGTTTAGGGAATTGACAGACATGGAAAGCTAGACTGACTAGCTTGTTGGCTGTTTTTAAAATCAATACATTTTACCACCACCAGTCACAGTGTTTGGTTTATCACCTGCCAGTTGCATCGTAAAGTCAGCCACACAATATTTAATTTAATTACATGTTCTCCGTGGTTGATGGTTGTCAAGGTGATGTCACGGTCATCGCGGTAGTCTTATAGTTACTAGGCAGCGGTGATAGCAGTGGATAAAAATCAGCAATGTGAGGACGCTGTCATAGCACCAGCCAGCTTGTTGACACTGATATTTCTTTGTAGTTTGTGTATTTTCTGTAAAGTTTGTGTTCCTGTCTGGCAGCCATCCATTTGGTCCTGCCACTATCCTCCTGGGAAGGAAAGCACAGACAAACGTCACAAAACCATAACCGGATTAAGGTTACGGTTAATTAAGCAACTCAGTGAAGCTTAAGAAGTTTGTCTGAGTATTTGGTCCCACGTCCTTTTGTCTTTCCTCTTCTTGTTTGTGTTGTAGTTGTTTGGTTGTACAAAAAAATATGACGTTGAGAATCGGGAGTCTGTCCCTTCGCTTTCCCAGCAGAACTCGTCCACCCCGTTGTGTGTAATAAAGATAATAATAAAAACAGGCATGCAGAAGCATTGTGGAGTTTGCATGATGGTGTTTTTTGTACCCCACCCTCAAACCTGCCCTCCATGTTGTGCACTTTATAGCTCATTGGACCTGTCTTTGGTTAGCAAATTAGCTAACTACTTTACTTGTTCCTACTTCTGCATTCTCAATATTTCTTCAGTTATTAAAAATACATGTTGGTATTACTTGTCAACACCTGCTTTGTTTGTGACATATTGCTGGAACAGTAACTGGATTTTTAAGGTTTTGTTCAAGGTTAATATTTAAATGTGAACCTGTGAAAGGCTACATTTTTAAATACGCTACCATCCAGTTCAGCCATCCAACTTCCCCAACCCATGACATTAAACACCAAATCTTCTGCTAGGGCATACACTACTATTGTCAACTGATTTTTGTTCTTGTTTGCTACCATATTGCCATTTTTGCTGTGTTTTTGTGGAGGAATTGTCCCCAATACACTAACATTGATTATAGTTAGAAGCCTGAAAACCTTGACCTGTGGGCTAACCTCCTTTTGCCTTCCACCCGGTCTTGTGCGTGTGTAGCATGCTGCCCTTCCTCTTCAGTGAAATAAGATTAGTGCATAAATGCGTGAATGTAAGTGTGTGTGTGTTTGTTTGTGTCGGAGCAGCACA